ACAGAGGTGAGGACAATCGAATGTATTTGAACATAATATTACAGAACATTTGATTAAAATCTGAGAACCATCGAATGAATACTTCATTTTACAATTGATTGATCACTAGGTAGTGATCAATGTCATGCTTGTCTAGTCCTTATTAGTGCAGATCGAATGCTATCGATCATGTTGCAATGTGGCCACCAGTCTAGGTGACTCGACACTGCGTGCACTATGTATTGAGACTTAGATGGTGGTTGGAGGTAGTCAACAGGAAACCCTGGACCCGGGGTAGCACCAGTTCTCTCAAGATTACAGGTACACCTTGCTGACGAGTGCCAAGTAGCACGAAACCCGGGTCCAGGGTTTCTTGTTGACTACCTCCAACCACCATCTAAATCTGAATACTTCATTTGTCTAAAACTTGATTGTTCTTTTTTTGCAAATCTCAGACAATTGTCTGAGATTTCATTGTTCCCGAATTTCCAAAACTAATCGCTTTTCGTTCCTGTTCTTTCCTCTAGAAATGATCGTATAAACTTAATTGATCTAATTTAACTAGTATTATAACTATCTTAAATATATACAATATGTTTATATGTTCTATGATAGTATTCAGACTATAGTAAACATGATAAGAATAAACTATATACGGTTGTAAATAGACTGTTTTATACTTACATAAAAATGATTGATTGTGAGGCCCATTATTTTGTCGTCATTTAGATTGGACGATGTTTGTTGACGGGCTCTCCACTTTAGTGGCGCGAGTTCTGGCTACAATTTAATCGTATGAATGATTGTTATTGAAATATATATGTCGCCTATCCTCGTATATAATCATCAACTTAAATTGCGTTAGTCAATAACGGAATTAAATAAGTCAAATAACGACTTTTGAATATATATATTGTATATGAAGCGAATGGAATAGAACGAAGCAAAACGACGAGCAGTGGAGATGGCGGGTGAGCCAACTCTATTTAGTCAAGCGTTAATCAGCATTTATAGTCACACAAACATGTGATGAATGGGATAAGAAGTGTACACACACATATGCGCTCATATAAAAAGTCATGATTGGTATGCGGATAATTAATAAGGTCAAAATGTGACTCAACTAGAATGAATAGATTGGGCTATCTGAAAGCTTGAATAAGGTATATGGGCTTAACATAATAAGCGACACTACATGATAATCACTTTTTTTGATGGAGTTTTATTCACTGAGCTCGGTAGTTTGGTTGCGGAGCTTTCATTGTTCTTCTGAACGACATGATCGGTACAAGTTTAAGATCAACAAGAACCAATTAACATCGAGGTCAAGCTATAAACCATATGTGGAGAAATTCGAACACTTCACTTCTATTTGAAGTTTGTGCTGATGATGTCGTTCAGAAGAACGATGAAAGCTTCACGACCAAACCATCCAGCTCAGAGAACAAAACTACATCAAAATCACCCACCGGAGCTACAAATCTTCTCAACCATGATAATCTTTACATTATAATTATATTGTTATGGATGATTTATTTTGAGGTTGATGTAATGCTAGACTCTTATTTACATATTAGTTGAAAAAACACAATAATATCGATCTATGCTAAACACAAATTGATGAAGATATATATATATATTGACGGAAGAAAGAATTATGACCTGATGTATGTATGCTCATGTGGATGGATTATCATATATATGGCCTGGATACACATGTAAGTGATTTCTAGTCATCATAGAAACCTGAGTAAACATTTGAGTCTGTTGCTAAGTGTTTATTTTCAGTGTGTTTTTTGTTGAAAAAAATTCGAAACAGTTATATTGTTTTATACTTTGTACAAACGAACATTTACTTTCATATTTGTCAATAAAAATTCTATAGTAATATTATTTGATGAGGATTTTCAAAGAAAATCCCAAGTAATCGAAAGATTGAATACTTAATACTTCTAGTTTAAATTATTATTACTACTAGTCACTGTAGGGCTGCTGCTGCGAAAGACTATAGGGTATCATGGTCTATTCGTAGGTCTTTCCAGTATTTAGATGATGAAATGTTTAGATTATTATACCCGATTTATGTGCGACCACATTTAGAATATGGGATTCAAGCAGCGAGTCCTTGTTTCAATTATGAAGCAGAGATGCTGGAAAGAGTTCAACGACGAGGCACTAAGATGGTACAAAGTCTATCTGGCCTGTCTTATGAAGACAGACTGAGACACTTCAACTTATTTACGTTATCTTACCATCGAGTACGGGGTGATATAATATTGGCTTATCGTATACTGAACGATGACCTTGGTATTACCATGTCTCATCTTTTACTTCCGTCTAGGACTGATCATTTGAGAGGACATTCGAAGAAAGTTCAAAAACCGAGATCAAATCGTTTACGTCTGGAGTTTCGTTTCTCGCACCGAGTAGTGAATTACTGGAATTCTCTAACACAACGCGTAATATCATCACCTTCTGTCAATATACTCAAAACGAGATTGGACCTCCACAGTATTACAAACTGCAAGGATTAATATAGGTCAATAGACCTCCTATCCTTCTTACTGAAGACTGATTAATGGCTCCATTCAAAATTATAATTTTGGCACAATATAGAATTATCAACACAAATTATTTCAACAAGTTTCCTTTTCTTATTTCTTGATTGATCCTGTTGACAAATATTGAGCGGTAGTCAGCTAGAAGCTAGCAGTTCAGGAATCGTTATGTGAATAATTTACATTTTTTTCGATGCATATTGCCAGCAACTACGATATCTCCGATTGAGCTTTTTATTGCAGCTTGTACAGTGGAAGGTTATAATCTTTTCACACACTCACCTGAGTAGGTTGTGCGACTAATAGGCATAGTGATGTGTTAAAATAAACAACAAAACAGATAACTTGTCGAAATATCTAGATGGTAGGGAGGAACAGGTAGCCCAGCTATTGAAGCAGGCCGCCTTGGTGCTATGATTTAAGCGATCATAATGTTTATAAATGATTATTATATGATTTCAATAGTTGAGATCATGAGTCAACTGAAGCTAGACCATAATGGAAAACCTGGAAGCACTTAACGTTCGTTTTGTCCTATTTTGCGACTCCTGAGCAGTGCGCATCCACGATATTGCCTCGAAAGATTCGAACCCAAGTTTTCCATAGTGACCTAGCTTCAACTGACTCATGAACTCAACTATTGAAACTACTATAATATCCACGAGTAACCCCTTCTGATACTAATCATTATATAGTTTAATATTCGAAGGTACTTTTTCTTCTTCTCTCATTGTACTGAATCATTTCAAATAGACAAGTTTCATTATCAATTCTGATATAATAGAACATTTTTGTACACATAAATAAAATGTGTTTTCTAAATTGTTATAAGAACAATTAATCAATCAATGAACTTAATTAGAGTTATGTAATCACTAATGACTGGTTTTAAGATAAAAATTCTAATTTCTAGTTCATAGGAAATCATAATAGACTAAGTTCAACTATACTATGAAGTAAAATAGATATCATTAACTGGATAATTTAAAGTTACTATAGTAGTTATGTAACTTGAATATTCTAGATGAACACTTCTAACTTACTTACTTAAGCCTGTTACTCCCAATGGAGCATAGGCCGCCGACCAGCATTCTCCAACCCACTCTGTCCTGGGCCTTCTTTTCTAGTTCTATCCAATTGTTGTTCATTTTTCTCATGTCTATTTGCATTTCTCGGCGTAATGTGTTCTTTGGTCTTCCTCTTTTCCTTTGGCCTTGAGGATTCCATGTGAGGGCTTGTCTTGTGACGCAGTTGGGTGCTTTCCTCAATGTGTGTCCTATCCACTTCCAGCGCTTCTTCCTGATTTCTTCCTCCGCTGGGATCTGGTTTGTTCCCTCCCACAGTACGTTGTTGCTAATAGTGTCCGGCCAATGGATCTGAAGTATTTTGTATAGACAACTGTTAATAAACACCTGTATTTTCTGGATGATGGCTTTCGTAATTCTCCAGGTTTCTGCCCCATACAGTAGAACTGTGTTGACATTTGTATTGAAAATCCTGACCTTGGTGTTGGTTGAGAGTTGTTTTGAGTTCCAGATGTTCTTCAGTTGTAAATATGTTGCTCTTGCTCGCGCCTTCACATCTGCATCCGATCCACCATGTTCATCAATGATGCTGCCCAAATACGTAAAGGTTTTTTACATGAACACTTCTAAGGGAGGGGAATTATACTTGAAGTGAAAAAAAGTCAACCAAGTATTCATTCATTTTCACTGATTTCTTACTTACATATTTAATTTCTGTTACCTTTTGTGAATGACCATATATATCATCCGCTAGAATCTTTTCCAGTTGTTATTCATTCTTTTCATATTTACTTCCAATTCTTGGCCCAGTATGTTCTTTCATCTTTCTCTATTCCCTTTTCCTTTTAAGATTCATTGATTATTAGGTTTATTTCGGTAGATATGATGGGCTATTTAGTATTTAAGATAATTTAATTAAATGAATTCATTATAATATCTATGTATACATATCTATTTCAACCATAAGGTCATATACACATGAATGATTGTTATTTATTCAATAATAATGTCAAATAGAATCTGATCATTAAACTAAAACATACAATTAGTTTTTCTCTTCTTCTTTTTTTGATTCATTATACAATGAAAGAAACAATTACAATTAATAGAATGAACAATTTAATCTCCCTCAAAAAATGGCAACTTGAAACAGAGAGATAAGGAGAGAGAGAGAGAGTGATTGAAAAAGACAAAATATGAAAGAGGTCAACTTGATATGAAGTTCTAAGACAATAACAACACCACCACCACCATCATCACCACCACCACCAACAACAAAAATTAATCATCTCTTTGTCAATCATATAAGAAATCTGAATACATCAATCCTTATGGAAACTGATTCATACATACATAAGTATAGTTAAAGATTACGCAGGAGAGAGAGAGAGAGAGATAATCGAAAGATTGATAATAATGTACAGTAGGAGGAGATTTTATGAAGAAATGTTCTTTACAAAAAAAGGATAATAATAATAATAATAAAGATTCTATTTGTATCAATGTAAATCTGATGTTTTATGAACCACACCCAATTTCATTTTTCTTACGTTACACAAATACTACTACTACTACTACTACTACTACTACTAATAATAATAATAATAATAATAATAATAATAATAATAATAATAATAATGAAGGAAATGATGAAAACTACTTGAAAATTGAATAAATTGTGAATTAAAACAAAATTTACTGATTCATTTTTGTTCTCTTTTTTTTAGAGAAAAAAAGAAATACTCTTCAATCTAATATTCATTGATTCTATTGAATTGGTAAAATAATAATGGTGAATGATTAGAATGAAACATGAAAATAAGGAGTGATTTTTATGTTAGGACAATGGGAAATATACAGGATAGAGGGATGTTCATTGGTTTGTTTGTTTGTTTATTTGAGGTGTTTTTAAGAGATCTTGTAAAAATTGGATAGTAAGTTGGTAGTTTATGATGAAATGTAATGGGTTCTAGTGTTGGAGTGAACATCAAACCTGGGATGCACGTTCATTTGGATAACAAGTTTCAAAACGAAACACAGGTCTTAGATTCCACTGCTAGCTATATTCTATCTTTTCTATTTAAACTTGATACATAATCGCTATATTGAGTTAATCCTCATAGGATTCACATATGTCAACTAAGATTAATGAAAATCCAGTCAAAATAATAAAAACAGAATTTACATACAGGGATTCTTGATTTACAATTATGAGTATTTTCTATTCATATCATGAATGGACTACTATTGAAAACCTGGAAGCCTTGAATGGCCGTTTCATCCCAGTATGGGACATCTCAATAGTGCGCATCCACGATCCTGCACAAAAGAGACATGAACCCAGAATCCTCGGTCTCGCACACGAACGCTTAACCTCTAGACCACTGACCTATCATCCAACGGTGTAAATGTCTAACTTCAACCAATCCACGATATTGCGCGACCGTCCACCATTGTCTTCAGTGAATAACTCCCCCTAAAAAAGACACAGTTTAACTCCACTGCTCACGACTTCTCCCTACAATTCCAGGAAATCCATTTTGAAGCTAGTAACTAGTGAGCACATGACAATTATCAGTGTAGGGATTCCGAAATTGTTGACCGTAGATACGCACTGCTGAGGAGTTCTAATATTAGGACGAAACAGTCGTCAAGTGTTTTCAGTATTTCAACGATGATATAATACTAATTTAAACTCAACAATCCCCATAATCCTTTAGTAATATGAACATTTTCTTGATATTTATTGAGTTTTCCTTTTTGCAACTGGAAATTTCTATGAATAGTCTTTGATTTTACTTTAACCTAATGTATCTTCTCTGAGGTATTCATTTTTATAATCAATAATTTTCCTTCCCAATTATTACTGAAGAACAATTTTAAAGAAAATATTGTAATGAAAGTTTATGATCGGAAATGAATTCTTTATATTAAGTTTTTTTTCCTTTTTTTGTGAAATAAATTTTAATGAAACTTAATCACAATTGAATGATCACTGGGTGGTGATCATTGCCATGTGTGTCAACTCCTTCTTAGCGCAGATCGAATGCTATCGACTAAGTTGCAATGTGGCCACTAGTTTAGATATCGAGGCAATACACACAGTATGCATATATGCCAATGAGAGACTGATCAATTACAATTCTAAACATCAGTGGGAAGATCCAAGTAAACAACACCAAGCAGGCGGCTATCAGGACTCAGTAGCTAACTGGATAATATGATGGCGTTTGAAGCGAACAGTACGGAGTTTGAGTCCTAAAGTGAACATCAACTCGGAGATGCTAGCACATCCAGCTGACGAGTTCCAAATAGGATGAAACGCACGTCCTGAATTCCATTGCTAGCCACTATCCATCTTAACATCTTTATTTGTTTAAAAAACAAAAACAAAATACATTTTATCACAGCATGAATTGTTTTAAAGTTTCTAATTGAAGTAGTTAACAGAAAATTAATTTCAATTGATAGTTCTATCATAACAAGTAAGTGATACTTAATTTTGTTTGTTTAAACCATCTTATATTGAACAATTTATGATAAAGATGAAGCGGTGCATTAAATTTCAAGTGATTGAATTAACCTATGGTTAGAAGTGTTTAGAAGTAATAATAATAATAATAATAATAATAATAATAATAATAATAATAATAATAATAATAATAATAATAATAATGTAATAGAGCTGTATCAAGCATATATTTGTTTATGATATCTGAAGAGGAATAAGATACACAAAAGAACGTTGTTATATAATATTAAGAATGTTAAGGGTTTTCGTTTTATTTATCCGAAATTAACTATACTATATAAATTCTACTTCTTTAGGAATGATGAATTAATGAGAATCATACTCAATTCAGTATGGATATCAAGATAATTAGTAGGGGATGTTAGTTAAATGCTTGGATGCTATTACGAGTTCATCTTACTCGATAAACGGAACGAAGGTCAAAGATACAGTGTTTCCGGACCTGCTAACTAGATCAAGAAGTCTTCGTCAGGCGTAAAGAATGTATTCTACAAGCACCCAAAGAATACGAGGCCAACAAGCACACAAGTCAAGCATATTTATACAATGATAGAAACGCCCTTGGGAGAGCCACAAAATAGCTTACTAAGAAAATCAGTCAACCAATGACAGTCAAGGATTTCTGAATGGGAAATGTAAGCTGTAGGTCAACTAAGCGTCTCTTGGCACGAAAACATAAAATTCAAATTTTTAGAATAAGATTTCCGAGTGAGTTCTGGAGATCTAACGTCCTCAACAGTTAGATCCCGAGAATTAACTTGGTAAATACCTTGTTTTTTAAATTCTATTTTAAGAATTTGAATTTTTTGTTTTTGCTCCAAAAGCGCTTATTTCCACCTTTATGTCGTATTTCCCACTTGGGAGGATCTTAAACGCTATTGGTTCGTTTTATCTTTTAGTATGCTATTTTGTAGTGCTTCCCAAGGACATTTTTATGTTATATATATTCTTGATTTTTGCTTGTTGTTATCGTTAATGTTTCTGGTTGAGTGTGGAATATATTTCCCTCTTCCGAAGTTGGACTTCCCTCTTCAGTTAACGGGGCTAGGACGCATTGGAATAGCTAGCTTATTGGTCATTGTGTTACAGAATCTTTGTTCCATTCTCAGATTAGGTGAACTCGTAATATCTTCAAACATAACAGGATATCAAGATAATTAGTAGGTGTTGAGTTATCTAAACCGGATAGGTTAATCATAAAGCTCCCATTGTATTTCTTGACATTATCATCAACATATACTTCAAAACGACATGGCTTATTAGAATATTTTTGCAAATGATTGAAAGTTTGCCCTACGGACATAGGATATCATAGGTTGTAAATAGTGTTCTGATTTCACTTAGCTGTGGTAAATCTGAAATGGAGAATTATATTGAAATCTCAATCAATGAAAAATTGGTCATGTTAACCACAAACGCTAACCTAATCTGACTGAATAGGACTCTGTTGAAGGAACTGAATATTTAACGTAAATGTTTGTTTTTAAAACGTCAATCAATTCATGATCTCAATTAAAAACTTAATAAGTTCCACAACGCCATACTGATAATTACCATGTGCTCACTAGTGACTAGATTCTTGAAGGGATTCTCGGAGTTCTAGTGAGAAGCCTTGACCAATGGAGCTAATCCATGTCAAGTAGAGACAGGTGTTTACCTCAGTATAATCGAAGATGGTCGTGCGATTTCGCGAATTGGTTAGACATTAGCACCGTTGTATGCCAGCTCAGTGATCTAGTGTTTAAACGTTCGCGTGTGAGGTCGAAGGTCCTGGTTTCGAATCTCGCGAGTGGGATCGTGGATTCTTACTGCTGAGGAGTTCCACGCTAAGGCGATATGACCGTCCAGTGCTTTTAGTTTTTAAATTGTGGTCTAACATCAATTGCTGCATGATCTCAATCTAAAACTTAACAGGCTACTTTTTCATAAAATGTCAATACCTTCTATTTTTTCACTGGAAGAAGTAAATAATTCATGTAAGAATAACAAATTTTGAGGTAGAAACTATGGTCACTTGAATCTTTAAAACCATTTAACTTCTAAGCTATTACAACTTAATTGCTTAATAGTAATGTATCCAAGTACAATGGTTATTAATTCATGGTTGAAAGATTAACGGTGAGACTACAGTTTATGAGCGACTTTTGAACGACATTAACGCGACCTTGAGTATGTCCATCTATGATTTACAATGGATAGTTAAAATTAGGAATTAGATTTATGAGTTCAATTAGTATGCGAATGGAACAAAGATTCCGTGACCGTCGACCAATAAGCTAGCTATTTGATGCGTCCCAGCCCCGCTAACTAGAGGAAGAAGTCCAAGCTTGAAACGGGAAAGTATATTTCCGTAAGCCAGAAGCACGAGTGAATAAAAACAGACACAAATCAAACGTATATATACAGCATAAAACTGTCCATGGAAGCGTTGCAAAAATAGTGTACTAAAAATACACAACGGACCAATAGCATTTAAGATTCTCCCAAGTGAGAAATACGACATGAAGGTGAAAAGAGAGCGAAAACAAGGAAATTTAAGTTTCCAAAATAAAATTACAAAATCAAGACATTTACCAAGTGAGTTCTGGGGATCTAACATTTCCAACAATTCTCTAGATGTTTCTGTGGCACTTCCATTCAAAAGTTTCCCAGTGTTTTCAGAGCCCTCTATGGTTTTTTCAAGGAATATTCTGGGTTTGACCAATAATAATAATCCTTACTGGCTTTATTCAATTTTATATTTTTGGTGCAATATAGAATTCTTAGAATAAAGTATTTCAACAAGTTTCCGTTTCTTATCTCTTGATCGATCCTTGCGATAAATATTGAGTGGTTACCAGTTAGATGTTTAGCAGTTCATGAATCAACATCTATATAATGTATATTCTTTTCAGTGCATATTGCCAGCTACCACGATGCCTCTGATTGGGCTCTTTTGTAACTTGTGCAGTGAAATGTTGTCAACTTTTCACACACACACACACACGAAAACAGATAACTTGTTGAATCATTCAGATGGCAGGAACAAGTAGTCCAGATATTCAAGTAGGCCGCCTCATTTTTTGTTGCTGCAACAAGATAAAAACTGATTACATTTGTAAAGATATAATGATGTATATCTATTGTCATAGATCATTTTATGC